CGGTGATGGCAGAAACAAAATAGTAGTTTCTTTCCCCCTGATGCACCTGTTACCTAGCAGTAAATAGGTACCTGAGAGTAAGACAGGTGTTACGGGCTACTTCCTGTGTGTGTACTCACCGAATTGTACTTACTTAATTGTGCTTGCGGGGGTTGAGCTCTGGCTCTTGGGTCCCGCCTCTCAACCGTCAATCAACAGGTGTACAGGTTCCTGAGCCTACTGGACTCTATCATATCTACACTTGAAGCTGTGTATGGAGTCAGCCTCCACCACATCACTTCCTAATGTCATTCCATTTGTCAATTACTCTGACACTAAAAAAGTTCTTTCTAATATCTCTGTGGCTCATTTGGGCACTCAGTTTTCACCTGTGTCCCCTAGTGCGTGTGCCTCCTTGTGTTAAATTGCCTGTCTTTATCTACCCTATCAATTCCCTTGAGAATCTTGAATGTGGTGATCATGTCCCCCCTAACTTTTCTGTCTTCCAGCGTGGTGAGGTTTAATTCCCGTAGCATCTCCTCATAGCTCATACCTCTCAGCTCGGGTACAAGTCTGGTGGCAAACCTTTGAACCTTTTCCAGTTTGGTCTTATCCTTTACTAGATATGGCTCTATGCTGGGGCTGCATTCTCCAGGATTGACCTGACAAATGTGGTATACAAAGTTCTGAAAGATTCTTTACACAAGTATCTGATTGCCGTTCATATGTTTGCTAGCCTGGCATATGCCGCTGATGTTATCCTCTTCATATGGGCTGCAGGGGACAGGTCTGGCTTGATGTCAACCCTCAAGTCTTTTTCTCTCTCGGACTCATGAAGAATTTCATCCCCCAAATGATACCTAGTATCTGGCCTCCTGCTCCCTACGCCTATCTTCATCACATTACATTTGCTTGGGTTAAACTCCAACAACCATGTGTTCGACCATTCCTGCAGCTTGTCCAGGTCTTCTTGAAGCCTCAAGCTGTCCTCCTCTGTCCTAATCCTTTTCTTAATTTTGGCGTCGTCAGCAAACAAAGAGAGGAATAAATCTATACTCTCCGGGAGATCATTTACATATATTAGAAACAGGATAGGACCAAGTACAGAGCCCTGTGGAACTCCACTGGTGACTTCACGCCAATCTGAGGTCTCACCGTAACTCTCTGCTTTCTATTGCTTAGGTACTCCCTTATCCACTGGAGCACCTTACCAGCTACACTTGCCTGTCTCTCCAGCTTATGTACCAGCCTCTTATGTGGTACTGTGTCAAAGGTTTTCCGACAATCCAAGAAAATGCAGTCCGCCCAGCCTTCTCTTTCTTGCTTAATCTTTGTCACCTGGTCGTAGAATTCTATCAAGCCTGTAAGGCAAGATTTACCCTCCCTGAACCCATGTTGGCGATTTGTCACGAAGTCTCTTCTCTCCAGATGTGTTACTAGGTTTTTTCTCACAATCTTCTCCATCACCTTGAATGGTATACAAGTCAAGGTGTGGGTGTGTGGGTGTGTGTGTGTGTGTGTGTTTGTGTGTGTGTGTGTGTGTGTGTGTGTGTGTGTGTGTGTGTGTGTGTGTGTGTGTGTGTGTGTGTGTGTGTGTGTGTGTGTGTGTGTGTGTGTGTGTGTGTATGTGTATTCACCTAGTAGTAATCACCTAGTTGTGTTTGCGGGAGTTGAGCTTTGCTCTTTCGGCCCGCCTCTCAACTGTCAATCAACTGTTTACTAAGTACTTTTTTTTCCCACCACACACACACACACACCACAGGAAGCAGCCCGTGACAGCTGACTAACCCCCAGGTACCTATTTACTGCTAGGTAACAGGAGCGTTCAGGGTGAAAAAAAACTTTGCCCATTTGTTTCTTCCTGGTGCGGGATTCGAACCCGCGCCATAGAATTATGAGTCCTGCACGCTATCCACCAGGCTACCAGGTCCCCAGGTTGCCAGGTGTGTGTGTGTGTGTGTGTGTGTGTGTGTGTGTGTGTGTGTGTGTGTGTGTGTGTGTGTGTGTGTGTGTGTGTGTGTGTGTGTGTGTGTGTGTGTGTGTGTGTGTGTGTGTGTGTGTGTGTGTGTGTGTGTGTGTGTGTGTGTGTGTGTGAAAAAAGTTAGTAGTTAGTAACATTTGATTGATTCACAGTTGAGAGGCGGGCCGAAAGGGTTGAGCTCAACCCCCGCAAGCACATATAGGTGAATACAACTAGGCAAATACAGAAAAATAATATTCCAAATATTGGTAAAACTTAAATATAAACATTTAATTAACATTTACACATATCCATCTTGTTAACCTTCCTTTACTCTCCTCTCTTTTTGAGCTCTTAACCTAATTCCACTTTCTAACCTAACCTTTTCTCTCTCTCTTTTTACCTCTTTACTTTATATTTGTTTAAAATATCTATAAAAACAACAATGTAAATGTTCGTTTGTTTAAAATTGCTAATCTCCGAAAATTCCTCACCGATTGCTTTGAAATTTTGACACAACGTTCCATTCGCATCCGAGCGGGTTTTAATATACATACTCTATAGATGCCTCGTCTGTGACTGGAAAAAAAACATGCTTTTTTGAAAAACAGCGCCATCTGTTGGACATAAGAGCAACACACGCTGTAATCTCCGAAAGTTCTTCACCGATTGCCTTGAAATTTTGGCACAGTGTTCCATGCGAATACGCGTGTGTTTTCATTTACCTATTATAGAAATGCCACAACTATGACAGGTAAAAACATGTTTTTTTTTTTTAAATCGCGCCATCTGTTGCACGTAATAGCAACTCACACTATATTAAATATGTTATGATTCCATTTCAATATTTCCGATTGCAATGATAAATTTAATATCTTAGATTTTAATTGATTTTCATTTTGATTTAATTATTTTGCATGACATTGCATTGGAATTGAGCCGTGTTGTTTACCATACTCTTCCTTTCACGAGTAAAGTTTATTTTTTTACTTCTTTATTGTTTTTCATTTCGTTTTTTTTTAACTGTTTTACTTATTTTCAGTGATGGGAAAATCAGATTATTTGATGTTTTCATTTTTCTGATGGGAACATCAGATCATTTGGGAACGAATCGGATGAGGGAGTGGGGAATGGTGGGGAGGACAAGGGGACGAGAGTGGGGGATGGTAGGGGGGACGAGGGGACGAGAGTGGAGGATGGTAGGGGGGATGAGGGGACGAAATGGGGTAATGGTGGGGAGGATGAGGGGACGGTGGAGTGGGGGATGTTGGGGACGAGGGGCCGGGAAAGTGGGGAATATTGGGGGAGGACAAGGGAACAGAGAAATGGGGGATGGTGGGGAGGACGAGAGGATGAGGAAGGGAGGTAATGGTGTGGAGGACGAGGGGACAGGGAAGTGGGGAATGGTGGGGAGGACGAGGGGGATGGGAGACGGGTATAGTGGGGATGATGAAGGGGCCTCGTAGCCTGGTGGATAGCGCGCAGGACTCGTAATTCTGTGGCGCGGGTTCGATTCCCGCACGAGGCAGAAACAAATGGGCAAAAGTTTCTTTCACCCTGAATGCCCCTGTTACCTAGCAGTAAATAGGTACCTGGGAGTTAGTCAGCTGTCACGGGCTGCTTCCTGGGGGTGGAGGCCTGGTCGAGAACCGGGCCGCGGGGACACTAAAAAGCCCCGAAATCATCTCAAGATAACCCTCAAGATAACGGAGGAGGGAATGGTTAGGAGGATGAGGGGACAGGGGAGGGTTGCTGTGGCCGGGTACAACTAGTAGGGTAATAAATATTAAACTCAACCTAACTTTAAATACAATATACATTAGTTGTGTATATTTCAGCAAAATACAGTCAAAGCTAAAATGTTACGTCAACATCGTCATTACTTCTACTTGCGGGGGATGAGTGTAGGCTGAGGCTGTACTGAGGAGGGTCTTTACCAAGCTTTCATTTACCAGTTTTGGACCAAGGAATCCAGAGAGTCGGGGCTCAGTAAGAAGTTGGATCTCTCTCAGAAAGATTTGCAAAAATTGCATTTGGAAAGGAAAGAACATTAGATGGACTTTAAGAATTGTGATAATGAAGGGACTAAAGATTGATACTGTTGTGCCTAATCATTTATTATTCTTTAAGGTCATAATCCTTAAGAGCGCAAACCTGCAATTGGAAGTTTTCTATAACTGTATTTCATGACTGCTGCAGCAAGCAATGTTCAGAAGAGAGGTTTGTGGGGAATGTTTAAATTTTAATGAACAGATTGTTATGCTTAGACGTCTGACTATTTGGCTGTTGCTTGGTTTTAATTAATGGCCACTTGTTTAATAATATATGGAAATATAAGCACTGCAGCTTTACCTGCGTATATAAAAAATTGTATAATAATCTTTACATTATTGTTAATTATTATATTACATCTTATTGTTGTTCTTGATTGCAGTTGATACATCGAGGCTGATACAACACATACAGCACAGAGGTGGTTGTGTCTTGGTTATATTAGAATGTTAACCGACATTGTGCTTATATGTACATATGACCAGTCATAATACTCTTCTGTCATCCTTATGCCATTCGCTCATATAACAACATAACTGTTAGGTTCATGCTGTTCACCATTCTACCCGTTAATGTACTGCAGTTCCGTATTGCTAACGTAGCTTTAATATACGTAAAATTCACAAATGTCAAGAACCGTAAATTTTAAAGAAATTTAAGCGTTGAAAGAGAGAGAGAGAGGCTTATACGATGATGTGGAATGATGCTGACATGAAGGAAGCTACAGCAAGGAAACAGAATGAGGCGGACTTTAGGGAATCTACATTAATTAAAAGGGTGTGGAATGAGGCAAACTTGAGGGACTCTACAATGAAGGGGCGTGGAATCAGAAGAACCTAGTGAAAAGGGAAATCACGTACTCAGGAGCTTGGTGAAGAAGTGTATTGTGTATAGCATAGGAACTGGTAAAACACCAAATGAAGCTCAGGTATAGAAAAAAGCATCCATAAAAAAGGAACAGCGCTCAGTTGGCCAAAATGTGTCTACTGGCATCGTTCAATGAACTAACCTCCATAGGACTATTGATCGCCTTTACCACGGGGTCGGGGTTTTTCGAGAAATATTCTAAAGTTGCTCCGCTGAACTGCCAGGGCTCAGTCCCCCACCTCCAGTTGCGTTGGTTCAGAAGGTCTTGGAAGGTGTCTAAACTCTGAGTCATTCCTTGCACTGTGAGATGAGCAATTAGTGAAGAATTGTAACCTGTGCTGATGACGAGACAAAACACCAGCCACCAGGCCATCATTACCTGCAAATATATTGTAAATAACAGTAACAGCTTCAGAACCTGATATTCTACAGCTGTCATTTCTCGGAAAGCTATCAGAATGCAACTCGTGTATATAATATGTAACTGTAATCAGCATATTATTAATATTATGATGTTGCTACTTTAAAAAAACACCAATTTAGGTTTTTATCGTTTCTCCTGGAGCCCATTTGTCAACAAGGTCTCGGTGCAATTGTTATTATTTTCAACGAGATAAAAGTAGTAAGACACAGTAGAGAGAGGGAAGTGACTCGCCAGGGTTGGGAACTGGAACTAGTGAGCACCACTGGCCAGCACTCTTCCTGAGTAACCAACACTGTATACCAATCGGACGTTTCACTAGCTTTCAAGATATTAAAAAATATGTTGATGTAATTAGCACCGATGATTTCCACCGGTTATTGTATCGCCTTCTGCAGAGGACCTAGAGCCACGCTGTCACACTCACTAGCAGCGAAACTCACAGCTCTTTTGTAGGAATTAGCTGAATAATGATATAATAACTATTAGTAACTTACCCTGCCCGAAATGCTGATGGTTGGGTCGGAGGGCAGGTTCTGGAGGAGTGCACCGTAGCCGTAGAGGAGGGAGGTGATAAGGTCCACCTCACGACCTCCCACCACCCACTGCCACGCCCTCTGCAGCAGCCACAGGCTCACGCCCCACGCCCCCACGCTCATCAGCAGCGCCACCCACAGCTCTCCTGGTGCAGCAATAAGATTACATGTACATATTACTCTCAGAAGATTTTCCAGCTTTCCAAGTTGGGATTATATTAGTTCATATAAACTATAAACTGTCAATATGAATTGTGACCATCAATTAATTGTCAATCACATATACATGTACTTAGTAATCTTATCTCTTTGTATGATATTTGGAATATTGACCTATTCTTTTATTGTACGTTGTTACTTACTTTCTAATATTAATCAGATATTTTTTCCACATAAAAATAACATAGAACAATATATTTACGACAAATGTAACACTGGCCTGCAATAGTTATCTTAACATGAATACTTGGGCTCGCTCCTAGCAGTAACACACCTGCAAATGGTCGAATAATTGCGAGGCTTGCAGGTAACGGCTCAGGCTTCAGAGACGTTATGACCATCTTATCAGAGGGATATATTCGAGCAAACAGAGCAAATCTGAGGCGGCCCGCTGTGGGCGCTATGATGGTGCTGAAGTCTGCCTCCTCCCGCTGCAGCTGACCAATCATACCCGTGTACTGGCCACGGCTCTTCTCGTCTCCGAAGGCGCGACCTGGAGCTTCTCTTACTTCGTAGCTAATAAGAGCAGTTGACGATTTTTATGTACAGGGCATACATATTCATTATAACTAAATATTATATTAGCACACACATATGCATACATACATGTACTAGTAAAATACCACAAGGTCTAGGATCCATCTTATTTCTAGTACATGTTAGTGACCTGACATGCAGTTGGATCCTTCATAACAATGTTTGCAGATGACGCTAAACTAATGAGACGAGACAGAATAGAGGAAGACTGTGATATCATGCCGAGGGGTTGTTGCACATGTATAGGTTGTCCTCCCCACCATTACCCCCTCCCCCAACCAATTGTCCTCCCCATCACCCCCCACTTCACTGTCCACTAGTCCTCCCCCTCATTCTCAACTTCCCCCCCCCGTCCCCTCGTCCCAATCATTCCCCACTCCACCGTCCTCCCCACCATTACTCCTACCTCCATCCCCTCGTCCTTCCCACCATCCCCCACTCTCGTCCTCTCGTTCTCCCCATCATTCCCCACTCCCGTCCCCTCATCCTCCCCACCATTCCCCACTCCCTCGTCCGATGCGTTCCCAACTGATCTGATATTCCCATCAGAAAAATGGGAACATCAAATGATCTTATGTTCCCATCACTAGAAAATAAGTAGAACAGTAAAAAAAAAACGAAATGAAAAAAATAAAAAAAATAAATTATAGTTACAAAATGAACAGTATGGTAAACAACACAGCTCAATTCAAACGCAATGCCAAACAAAATAATTAAATCAAATGAAAATAAATCGAAATCTATGAAAATTCAATAAATCAATGTAATCAGAAACACTGAAATGGAATCGTTACATATATAGTATAGCGTGTGTTCCCATTACGTGCAACAGATGGCTTTTTTTTCTAAGCATGTATTTACCTGTCACAGATGTGGTATCTGTATAGTAGATATATAAAAATACGTGCGTATTCAAATGCAACGTTGTGTCAAAATTTCAAAGTAATCAAGGATGACATTTTAGAAATTAAAGCATGTGTTGCTCCTGCGTCCTACAGATGGCGCTGTTTAAAAAAAAAAATTCTTGTCACAGGTGAGGCATGTATATAGTTCGTATATAAAAACACGCGCCTATTCGAAGGCAACGTTGTGTCAAAATTTCAAAGCAATAGGTTAAAAGGTTTCGAAGATTTCCCTCACTTCAAAAACACATGAACAAAATAGTTAAAAAAAAAAACGTTTTTTTTCCCATCACAGACGTGACATCTGTATATTATGTATATAAAAATCCAATGTACAAGTCGCCAATATACGATATTCTTAAAATAGACGACTATTTGGCAAAAATGAACCTTATACTCTCTGACCAAACTATATTCCAAAGGGTAACGAAGGACACTACAGCCGATTTGAAAACGAAGGTAAACAGATTGATTGAAACTGTGAATGCCAAGAAATCTGGACTCCACCTGCCAAAGGTTATTGGGGAATACAAACCTGGGTATGAGTAGGGAAATGTCAAGGCCCACAAGCCTGGGAAACCCATTTCGGCCAATCATCAGCCAGATACCCACACCCACATACAGACTGGCTAAGCGATTCAATGACTTGCTGACTCCTTGTGTACCCTGTGCTTTCAGCCTGAAGTCTCCAAATGGAATTTGTTGACTTACTGCGGGGAGCACGGGCCACGGGGATAAGAGCCTCGTTGGATGTAGAATCACTGTTTACCAACGTACCTGTGAATGAAACAATCGGGATGATAGCGGACAGAGTGTATCGTGATCCAGCCTGTACTCCTCTTGACATACCAGAAAACATACTTAGGAAACTACTTCAACATGGGTACCATCAAGCAGAAGGTCTTAGTTGACATGGACTTGAAACCGGCCATATACTGCAGGTATGTTGACAACATTTTTATGCAGGTACCTGATGGCAGACGTCTGCAGAAGCTGAAGGAGACATTTGAGCGGAATTCTGTGTTGAGTTTCACTTACGAGATGGAGAAGGATGGGAAACTGCCCTCTCTAGACGTAAGAGTCACGGAAAGGAGCGAAGGCTTCCACACTGCGGTCTACAATTAGGAAACAAACATAGGAATGTACATCAATGCCAACAGTGACTGCCCAGACAGGTACAAAAGAAGTGTTGTTAATGCTTATGTCGACCGTGCTCTCAGCCACAGCTCAGGATGGAAGCAAGTCGATGAAGAACTCTGTTGGGTAAGACAGGTCCTAGTCAACAATGGCTTCTCTAATGGTTTTGTTGAAGACATCATAAAGAGAAAGGTGGAACGCCATGCAACCTCTGAAAAGTCAACTAACACAACACATATACCCCCTATTAGACTATTTTACAGGAACTTCTTTTCGACGGCTCATAAAACAGATGAAAGGGTCCTGAAAGATTTTGTTGATAGGAACGTTATCCCTACAGACAAAAATCAGAAAATGCAATTGACGATTTACGATAAAACCAAGAAAACAGTTATCCTACTCATGAAGAACTCTCCAGACACCAAGCATAATACATTGAAGGAAACCAACATCTTCTATGCCTTCAAATGCCCATTTGGGAACTGTAAGCCCCAAAGAACTCAGTATATAGGCAAGACAACAACATCTCTTTCCAGGCGATTAATAATGCATAAACAACAGGGCACCATCAAGGAACATATAATCTTTTCCCACAACCAGATCATCACCAGAGAAATCTTAACAAACAACACAGAAATCATCGATAGATACAGCGATAGCAGGAGGCTCGACATCTGCGAGGCACTACACATCAAAAAGTCAACACCAGCAATCAACAGCCAATTAATGCACAACTATATTCTACCCACCTCAAGACTCCGCTCCAATATAGAAGCATCAAGAAATATGGACCAATAGGCTTTCTACAATCACTTCCATTCAATACCCATTGTTTCGTGTTCTGTCTTGTGTTTAGGAATTTAATACCCTATTAATACCACCTCACCCCATCCACCTCACTCAAATGTAGATATAAACAAATCGAAGATGTGTAAGTTGTATTCAGTTGTGTGTGTGTAAACTAAAGTCTTTGAAAATGTAATAAGTTTTACGAAACGCGCTCAAGTGTCACGTCAGACTAGAAATAAAAATGAATTTTGGAGAATTGATTTTTGAATTACCACCAACAGTGAAAAGAAACGTACGAAAGATCGAGAAAATTCGTGTTAGAATTATTAATCTTACTTTTTCGGTCATATTTAATAATATATATATATATATATATATATATATATATATATATATATATATATATATATATATATATATATATATATATATATATATATATATATATATATATATATATATATATATATATATATATATATATATATATATATATGACAATGTCAGACCACGGAGGAAAATAAAACAGGAATTTCCTTAAGTACTTTCGTATATTAAATACATCTTCAGAAGGAAGATGAAGGAAGATGATGATATTCCTTCTGAAGATGTATTTAATATACGAAAGTACTTAAGGAAATTCCTGTTTCATTTTCCTCCGTGATCTGACATTGTCACATTCTTAATCACGTGTTTATTTTCGTGATATACACATATATATATATATATATATATATATATATATATATATATATATATATATATATATATATATATATATATATATATATATATATATATATATGTCGTACCTAGTAGCCAGAACGCACTTCTCAGCCTACTATGCAAGGCCCGATTTGCCTAATAAGCCATGTTTTCATGAATTAATTGTTTTTCGACAACCTAACCTACCTAACCTAACCTAACCTTACTTTTTCGGCTACCTAACCTAACCTAACGTTTAAAGATAGGTTAGGTTAGGTTAGGAAGGGTTGGTTAGGTTCGGTCATATATCTACGTTAATTTTAACTTCAATAAAAAAAAATTGACCTCATGCATAATGAAATGGGTAGCTTTATCATTTCATATGAAAAAAATTAAAGAAAATATATTAATTCAGTAAAACTTGGCTTATTAGGCAAATCGGGCCTTGCATAGTAGGCAGAAAAGTGCGTTCTGGCTACTAGGTACGACATATATATATATACATATATATAAATATATATGTCGTACCTAGTAGCCAGAACGCACTTCTCGGCCTACTATGCAAGTCCCAATTTGCCTAATAAGCCAAGTTTTCCTGAATTATTACATTTTCTCTAATTTTTTCTTATGAAATGATAAAGCTACCCATTTCATTATGTATGAGGTCAATTTTTTTTTTATCGGAGTTAAAATTAACGTAGATATATGACCGAACCTAACCAACCCTACCTAACCTAATCTAACCTATCTTTATAGGTTAGGTTAGGTTAGGTAGCCGAAAAAGTTAGGTTACGTTAGATTAGGTAGGTTAGGTAGTCGAAAAACAATTAATTCATGAAAACTTGGCTTATTAGGCAAATGGGGCCTTGCATAGTAGGCTGAGAAGTGCGTTCTAGCTACTAGGTACGACATATATATATATATATATATATATATATATATATATATATATATATATATATATATATATATATATATATATATATATATATATATATATATATATATATGTCGTACCTAGTAGCCAGAACGCACTTCTCAGCCTACTATGCAAGGCCCGATTTGCCTAATAAGCCAAGTTTTCATGAATTATTATATTTTCTGTAATTTTTTTCTTATGAAATGATAAAGCTACCCATTTCATTATGTATGAGGTCAAATTTTTGTTATTGGAGCTAAAATTAACGTAGATATATGACCGAACCTAACCAACCCTACCTAACCTAACCTAACCTATCTTAATAGGTTAGGTTATGTTAGGTGGCAGAAAAAGATAGGTTAGGTTAGGTTAGGTAGGTTAGGTAGTTGAAAAACAATTAATTCATGAAAACTTGGCTTATTAGGCAAATCGGGCCTTGCATAGTAGGCCGAGAAGTGCGTTCTGGCTACTAGGTACGACATATATATATATATATATATATATATATATATATATATATATATATA